AGAGTAACTAGGGAGTCTGTGAGGAGCTGTTCCATGAGACGAAGAGGCCAGTGGGGGCCGGAGCAGGTTTCAGTACCATTTGGGGGCAGCCTCTGCTCTATCAGAGCCACACCCCACCTGCAGGGGCTGCTGGTAAAGTAGTGAGCTTCCCATCCCCAAAAGTGAGTAAATCCTGACAGGAAAACTGGAAGTGGTGGGCCCGTGCCTTTCCAGCCTGCAGGCCCCAGGCTCCCATCTGCCCTTCCCAGGGCTCTGGGGATGCAGGGTGGTTGGGGCAAGTACCTTTATGTCCAGGTGGAGGATGCTGTGGCTGTGCAGGTAATGCAACCCCTCCGCCAGCTGCTGGATGTAGACCTTGACCTACAGTAGCAAAGGCTGTTGCTCAGGCAAGACAGTCAGCCTCGACCTCCCCCTCCCCTCCCCTCCGCTTTCCTCCCTGCCCTGCGCCAATCTACACCTCCACTCCCTCCAAGCCTGGGACAGTCCCAGAGGCAGTACAAACAAAGCCTCCCAGACCCCATGAGCCTGGGCACGGGGATTCCTCTGGGCCCTGAAGGTGGGGAGGGTTTGGATGTGTGAAGCCGCCTGAGCAAAACAGGAAGCTTGATGTTTCAGGAGAAGGCAAGGGTTGGCCCATTGGCCAGGTGCAGGCTGGGAGAGGGAAGTGGTGAGCCCTGGCCAGGAGGTCTCTGAGAGTTGACTGAGGAACTGTGACACTTTGTGAGGCCCTGGAGACCCCAAAAGGTCTCTGAGCTGGGGCACACCGTGCAAGAGGGGAGGTTGTGTCTGCTGGGGCAGGAGGTCAGGGCGGGGGGCGGGGGAGTAGCAGGCCTGGTGGGTATACATGCAAGCCTATTGGCTGGGCAGACAGCTCAGGCTGCAGTCACCTCAGCTTCTGTCACCACACTCTTCTTGAACAGGCGGTCCAGTAGTTCCTCTGATGAGCACCTGGGGCTCAGGTCAAGGAAAGCTCTGGGGACTGGAACCCACCCGGCTCCACACCCCACGGCAAGTCTTATCTTGGGGTGGAAGTGGGGGTCCATGCTGGGGAGGTGGGCCCTCCGGGTTGAGGAGAGAGCTGAGGCCAGGAGCCAGCAGCAGAGTTGGAGTGAAGACATCCTCTATTCTGCACAAAGCCCACACCCCCTGCAGGGACAGGGGTCGCTGGAGGTGGGGGGGAGTGAGCACGTGACACCCAGAGACTCTCAGCAAGTGGTGGGGTGAGACCCAGAGGGGGCAGGGAAGGGGTGTGGCCCTCCCTCGAGCCTGAGTGGACAAAGTAGGAATCCCAGCACTTGGGGCTCAGGGCTGCCATTTAAGCAGCCTGACCTCCTGCTGAGAGAGGCCACATGGAGCAGGGGAGGGGCCCTCTGGACGCAACCCTGACCGAATTCACGACTCAAGGGGCAGCGGGCTATGAGGACAGGGCCATGTCTGGGTTGGTTAGTCACACAGCATCCTAACAGGAACGTGGGAGGCCCGGCTGGCGGCCCCCACTAGGAAAGCAGGACCGAGGACACCAGGATCGCAGGCCCGCAGCGCCCAGGGACCCTGCTCTCCTGAGGCCTGCTCCCTCCTGGTGCTCTTGGGGCTGGGGGCTGGATACAGCTCCAGGACAAGGATGAGCGTTTTGCGCGTCTCAAACTGGTCCAGCAGCCTGGTCACCAGCGGGTGGCTCAGCTCTGCCAGCACATCTCGCTCCCTGTAAGCCTGGGTGCGCGTCCTGCTCCGCAGGGGGATGAACTTGGCAGCACAGGACATCTGGTTGCCCTTGTGCTGCACCCTCTTCACAAAGCCGAACACACCTCTAGGAAGAGGGGAGCCCACGCTGACTCCCAAGACGGCTCCAAGGAGGGAGGTGGGGTTCCTGGAGGGCAGGGGCTGGGGGAGCGGGTACTGGGGAGGCAAGGGGTCCCTAGAGGTAGGGTTCCCAGGGTACGGGCCTCCTGAGGATGAGAGGGTACTGGAGGGGGGAGGCGAGGATGGGATGGGGGGGGGAATCTTCCAGGAGATGGGAGCTCCCAAAGGGCGGGGTTGCAATTGATAGGCGGGCAGATTCCTGAGAGGGGAGGATTCTGGGAGAGCAGGGGCTGGGGGCTGGGCAGGGTTCCCAGACGTCCAGAGAGGACTGAGGGGTGGCCTCTGATAAGTGGGGTCCTCAGGAGGTAAGGATTTATGGGGGACCAGGACTCCAGAGGGCAGGGTTCCAGGGGTTGGGGCTGGGGATCCTGGGCTAGGGACTCCAGCAGGCCAGGTTTGGGGGACTGGGCAGGGATGGGGGCGGGGCTCCTGGGGCTGGGGGAGATACCTCCCAATCTCTTCCTTGACTTCGTAGAAAGAGTGCAGTTTTCTCCGATAGCTTTGCTTCTCCGAGCCCAGCTCGCTGGCCCCTATAGCCAGGGAGCAGTCAGTTGCCAGTGTGGACAGAGACCACCACCCCCTCACTGTTCCCCAACTCTGTAGTATCTGCGGGCAGTTCCCTGTGCCCAAGCCTGTGGGAGCCCACAGGACCCCACGCCCGCAGGAAGCCGGACTGGGACCTGGGAAGGGTTCCCTGATTCACCTCCGTGCACCAGCAGCTCCGCCTTGCACAGCACCTGGCCGCCAGCGTTTTGGGCCAGGCAGGTGTAGACACCGGCATCGTGCTGGGCCACATCCCTCAGCACCAGGGAGTAGGTTGTCCCTTCCTGCTGCTGGCTGAGCCGTGCACTGTCCACCAGCTGGACGCTGTCCTGGAGGCACAGGTGGGGGGTGACCATCAGCCCACCCTGCCTTCCGTGAGTGACACGTCATGTCCAGTGGGGATTTCACACTCTCCCTCCAGATACAGGCCCCGCCCCACATGCATCTCTACCTTATACCAGGTCACTGTGGGCTGCGGGTCGCCCTCGATGACAGCCTGGAATTCCGCTGTGCTGCCTCCCTGTGCCTGCACATCCTCGATGGTGACCTGCATGGACGGGGGTCCTGGGGGTACGGAGGAAAACCGTGGGGAGAAGTCCAGGCTGCACAGCACAGCCGCCCACCGCAGCCCACACTGCAGTCTGTGAGCGGGGGCCTGCATCATCGAGACCCCGGTGGGCTGGCAGGGACCCAGGCGCCTCGGGCGCCCCAGGCATCTCAAGGCCCTGAGACCCTCAGGGTGACAGAGCCCCTCGGCCTCCCAGGTGGAGGCGGCCCCTCCTGATTCGGCGCAGGCTCCGGACAGTTAGGAGGTGCTTCTGAGCACCGTCTCCCCACCTAAACCCGGCTCTTGGAGGCAGGCACACAGGGCATGCTCACTTAGGCTGCAGAGAGGACACCTAGGTCCCTGCTGCCCGTGCTCCCCTCCCAGGGATGCCCCTCGGAGGGGACTTAGGGGCTGGGGTCGCAGGGGCTGGCCGCAGCAGGCTGGCACACATCGGATGGCTCCTCCGTGCAAGTGTCCCCCAGCCGACTGCCCGGTGGGCACACACGTAGCCTACTTGCTGCGGCACCCAGGTCGCTGGCCTTGTACACGTATGTCCGGTGCATGGTTTCTGTGAACACGTGGCTGCAGACATCCCAGAGCTCAGTGGCCTCTGTCCCCGGCCAGGCCGCGCTCTCCATCCTGGGGTCATGCAGCAGGGTGAGTTGTCTGCCACCCATCCACTTCTGGGGTTGGGCACTGACCCTGGTGGTAAGATGGGCCCCTGCCCCACCCCCACCCGGGGCTGCAGCCGACTGCATGGGAAGGAATGCAGAGACCAGAGCCCAGCCCTATGTGTGGAGGGGCTCCCCGAACACCTCTCGCCCCGAGAGTGGCCTCTCCTCCTTGTACTGCCCTTTGGCTGGGGGAGGGCTGATGAGGAATGTCCTGGGGTGCTGTGCGCCCACTTCTTACTCCTCCTGCCCTGCTCGCGGACGTCCCCTCATAGAAAGCCCCACCCAGTGTGCCAGGGACATTACCTGATGGGCACCATGCGTTCGTGAGCCGCCGCAGGAGCCCCCGAGTCCTGATCCTGGCTCCCAGGAGGGAGAGACTCAGGCACCTTCCTGGACTCTGCTGGTGGGAGGCCAGGGCCTAGTGAGACAAAGCTTGGGATGCGCCGGGGGCTGTCCCCAATGACATGCCCCTGTCACCCTCCAGGGCGCAGAGGGTGGGAGCACAGGCAGAGCAGGGGCGCAAGGGTCCGTGTCCCCAAACCTGGGACTCTTTCCGCGCATGTGCACCTCCTCCAGGGCACCCACCTGTCCTAGCCGGGAGCCCGGGCCACCAGCCCTAAGGCTGCCCACCACCCCCACACCCCATCCCACAAGGGGATGCGGCACCTCGGTGGAGAGGGCCCCCTCGGCAGCATCCCTAGGGTTGCATCTGTCAGGGGCAAGGTATCCTCCTCCTTCCTCTCCTCTCCCCACCTCCTCTCCTACCCTGAGCACAGGGTGCCCAGGCTACCTACCGGGGCTCTGACCCAGGTCTCTGACACCCAGGACAGATGTACTCAGGGTGGGAACCTCCCTGAACTACCTCTCCCCTGCCTAGTTTCGTAGATGGGTGACAGCCTGAGTGAGGGGTGGGCCTCGCCCAGGGCCCCCGTGCAAGGATCCCAGTGATACCTGGGTCCCCAGGGTTCTTCCACTTCACTCCCATGGGATGAGCACCCAAGGCGACCAAGGCTTGGGTCAGCACAGAGGAGGGGGTCTGGGAGCAGGTGGTACTTGGCAGTCAGCCTGCCACTGGGCCTCACCAGATTCATCTGCAGCCTCAGTGCCTAGGAGCTGGGGGCTGGCCTCCTGGAGAGCAAGTGGCTCCCTGGGGCCCAGGCCAGCGTGGTCCCCTGCAGAGGGTCCCGGAGCCTCCGGGCCCACCAGTGTCCTCTGGACAGATGTGCTCTGGTCCACTTGCTCCAGGGCAGTTGGGGGTGGGACAGCAGCACCTATGGGAAAAGTGGGTCAGCCTGTAGGGGTGAGACATGGCCGAGGACCTGAGCGGGGGCTTCAGGAAACCTATCTCGGTCCTTAGAGATGCCCAGGTAAGACGAACAGGCTGCCCTTCCCACCCACCACGCCTCTCTCAGGAGCCGCTGGAGGTAGAAGCCCGAAAGAGAAAGGGGCCTGGGAGTGGGTAGAGACGGTGCCCAGGGCACTGAGAGCAGAGCCCCCCGACTCCTGCCCTTGTGCCCAGATGCCTTCAGGAGAACGCCAACTCCTCAGGAGCAGCTGAGCCTGGCCACCCTCCATGTGCCCCGCCTGCCCCAAGGTCTCAGCTCTTGCCATCCCTTCATCCTGTGCTGACCTCCCTCATGGCTCACTCTGGACCCCAGGCCCAGTGGACCCAGCCCCATGATATAGGGAAACCTGCAGCCAATTGAGGGGCCTGGGCACCCACAAGGCGTGGGCTCCCTTACTGCCCTCCCATAGCAGACCCTGTCCCCCGCCCAGAGGGCCTGTCTGGCCCAGGTCACTGCCCCTTCATCTGGCCCTGCCCTGGCCTCCAACACAGCCCCCACCTCTTCCCACCAGACCATCCCTGCCCTCAGCCTCGGGTGCAGCCCCTTCCTCCGCCTGGCTGCCAGCCCCAGGTGGCATCACTGTAGTGGACAGGTGTGCCCAGTCATGCCCACTGCTCCATTCCCAGCAGGCCCCCCTGCCTAGAGCCCTCCCCTGCCCCAGGACCCTCTCCAGCATTACGGTACCCACCCTGTCCTTTCCCACTCCAAGGAGGACCCCACACATCACACCCCCATCGTCTGTCCTGACAACAGCCTGGCTGCACAGGGGCAGGAAGGCCTGCCTGCTCGAGTGCTGGCAGGCTGGTCAGGTGAGTGCGGTGCCTCCACCCAGGGACCTCAGACGGCCAGGACCCACCCCAGGCTGCAGCAGAGGGGGCTTGGGCTGCCACTGGTTGGTCCCCAGGGCTAGGCCTAGCGGGCCCCTACCGCCCAAGTTACAGAGCCACTGGAAGAAGCAAGAAGGAGCAGAGTACAGGGTGTGGGAGCCAGTTTATTATCATCATGGAGTCAACTAGCAGGGGCTGCTTCCCACCCAGACCCTGGCCCCTGCTGCAGGGGAGGCCTGGAAAGTCTGCAGAGGGCACCCAGTGTCCATGGGAAGTTGTCCCCCAAGAAGCCCCCACTGAGATGGGGCAGCCTGGGCGTGGGCAGGGATGTGCCACAGCAAAGAGAGATGGGAGACCACAGCCCAGACCGAGTCTACCTGCTGTTCCCCACAGCTCTCAGTAAATCTGGGTTACAGCTGTGCGGACAGTGTCCTCAGCTGAAGACCCCGGGAGGACAGGCAGCTGAAGTCCCGAGTTGCTGGAGAGCAGGGGGGTGGTCAGAGCACATGTCCTGAGGTGCTGGCTTCAGGCCCCTCTCCTGAGCTCAAAACTCACAGCGGCTGTGAAGCGGGTAGGTACGGTGCCAGGCAGGGTCCTAGGCCCCAAGGCCATGCCCCTTTCTGCTGCTCTCATGCAGCCCTGTCAGCAGTAAACTGGCTCTGAGAGCGTCAATGTCTCACCCCCCAGCCGCCTGTGCCCTTGAGGGTCGAGGGTCGCAGCCTCAGCCCTGGGACGGACTGGGGTCCTCATCCCCGTCAGGCCGAATGTGCAGGGTGACTGTCTCACCCACTGTCCCAAAGCTGACCGTGTGGGTGGAAACCTCCGTTTTGAAGCTGCTCTGGCCACTGTCCGCAGAGCGATGGACTTGGGTGCAGAAGGATGTGGCACCCCTAGCCCGGGAGACACCAACAGGGCGGAAGACCTGGGGCCTCGACAGAGCTGTTCCCTGGGGCAAGCAGCTGAAGAAGCCAGGCGGGGCTCGGGGGCCTGGGGGGCGCCACACGTCGAGCAGGACGGGCTGTCCCACAGTGGGCTCACTGATCTCTCTCTGGAGCACCGAGACCTCGCAGGGTGGGTCGTCGGAGACACTGGGCACGGGGCTGCTGCAGCCGAAGGTCTCCCCTTCCTGGGGTGTGTAATCCTCCAGGTCAGCCAGCGTCAGCACACAGCCATCGCGTGTGAGGATCTTGGGGTCCCAGCCTCGAAGGTCCTCGGCGCCCAGGGGCTCCTCCATCAGGTGGACACCTCTCCCCTCCTGCACCTCCAGGGGGGCCTCCTCTTCGGTGGCCCCAGGAGGGGACAGCTCATGGGTCTCCAGCCCAGCGTCCACACAGAAGACTCTGCCCTGGGTCAGGGGCTCCTGGGTCAGCAGCTTGTTGTTGGAGTTGTTTGTGTTGGGGTCTCCTCCGGGGGTCCCACCAGGAAGCGTGAAGAGAAGCCCCGCTGAGCTGCCAGGCACCTCTCTAGCTGGAGATGCACCCCTTGAGCCTGTTTTCTTCACCTGGACTTCGATGGTCTCCTCGACCTCCACCCACTTGGACCTGGGCCCAGTGCCCCTGGGCAGGGCTGGCGTACGGGCTCCGGGCTCTGTCACGTACAGCGTGGGTACAGGGGGCTTCCAGCCTGGCTCCTCCCCTGGCCTTCGAAGTTGGCCAGCCCCTGGTGAATGCAGCAGCTCAGGGGCTGACAGGCCAGACCTGGGTGAACTGGCAGGGTGCCGGGAAGGCGAGCGGGAGGGAGACTTGCTGGGGGACTTGAGGCGGCCACGCGGGCTCTTCACCACGGTGGTGATGGTCTCCTCTCTGCAGGGAGAGGGCCGAGAGGAGATGGCACGGAGACCTGCAGCCTGGCTTGCCACCCATGCCACCAGCACATTCAGAGCCAGCAGGAGAGATCAGGTTAATGTACCAGCAAGCAAAGGGTGAAACTACGTAAGCTCCTACACATGCACTTGAGCCCAATCTCTGGAACCCCCAGCCAGAGAACCAAAGAAACAAACACAGAGTCTCATCTGGTCAACCATGGGCTCTGGTGCGCAGACCTCAAATAGGAGTTGAGGCATCACTGCATCACACAGGTGCCTCCAAGCCCCAGACCAAGTCCAGTGTGCAAGTCCCTGTGGGTAGTATTCCCTGTTCATAGCTGTCTTATTTTGGATGCCAGTCCTCTCAGAGCTAATGGCCAATGTGCAAGGACACTGCCCCACAGTCCTCCTTGTCCGTCCCACCAGTGTTTTGTGCTTTGTATCATGGGGTGGGGGCCCAGCAAGCTCTCAGAGGGCAGGTGCCTCAGTGATCTTGAGTTAGGGACAGACTGGGCAGTTGATGCCACAGGTGCGGGTGTGAGAAGGTTGTCAGAGCCCTGACCTGCAGCCTGGGTTCCTGGCCTCTTGGTCTGGTGGTGTGAGGCTGGGCAAGGACACTTGGTCCCGGGTGTGACTCTGCTGTCATAGGCTTTGTGACCTCAGACAAGCTCTTCCCCTTCCTGGGCCCCATTTTCCAAACAGGGAGTGGGGGGAGAGGAAGCAGAACTCAAGGCCAGTTGCATGTGGGTGCACGTGGGGTGCTGATTGGAGACTCTGCAGCAGCACTGGGGGATGGGTCTGGCCCCCTTTTACGGGAGTGGACAAGACTCAAAGAGGCTCAAAACTTTCTCAGGACCAAGAGTCAGAAGCCCACCAGTGAGCTAGGTCCTCCTCGGCCGTCCAATGCCCTGACCTGGCTGGGTGCTGAGGGCGAAATGAGGAACAGGCAGGGACAGCAATGGGCTGAGTAACACACAGCTTTCCTGGGCCCCAGGACCTGCATTTCCTCTTGGGCTCAGGCAGAGGGACTTGGTGTGCTGTTGCCAGCCGCCTGCCTGATAAGACTTTGTCTCTCTTTCTCCAGCTTTGCTTTTGTCTAACTCAGGGCTCCATCCAGGAGCAGTTACCCTCAGGCATGACCCCAGAGATTTGTGGCCACACCTCAGGGTGCAGAGCAGTTAGAGTCCTGCCTCCTCCAGCCCTCACCTGGAAAGGGGAAATGCTATCTCCACTTCACTGAGGAGAAACTGAGGTTTGGAGTCAGAGCCTACTCAGGGCCAAAACCTGCCTTCTTGCCCCACACTCAGGCCCAGAGGTCAGAGTCTGCCCAAACATCAGGGGAACCTGGGCCAGGTCCCATCTGCTGGCCTCATGCTGCCTAATTGGCTAAGAAAGGACGGTGGGTCAGGTGGAACTGGGAAACTGGATCACTCCTCTAAAAGGCACTCCCACCCTGGCCGGTGGTGCTCAGTGGTTGGAGCGTCAGCCCATGACCCAAAGGTCACAAGTTCAATTCCTGGTCAAGGGCATGTACCTGGGTTGCAGATTTCATCCCTGGCCCTGGTCAGGGCGAATGCAGGAGGCAACTGATTGCTGTGTCTCTCTCATATCAATGTTTCTCTCTCTCTTTCCACCTCCTCTCTCCCTCCTGTCCACTCTCTCTAAAAATCAATGGAAAAATATCCTCAGGTGAGGATTAACGAAAAAATAAATAAATAAATAAATAAATAAATAAATAAATAAAATGCCACTCCCACTACTGGGCTCACTGCTGCTCCCATGAGGGCATGTGGGCATCCTGCTCTGAGGCCACTGGTAAGCATGTGGGGCTTCCAGGTGGTAGTCTCTCCAAGCCAGTTGCTTTTCCATACTCCTGGCTCCCCGCTACCCCTCACTGTGTGGTGTGCCCCTGGCAGGGGCATGCTGTGCCAGGCAGTTGCCTCCCTCCACTTCTCAAGCTGAACGGGTACACTCCTTGTGGGGTGAAAGTTGCTACCACTATGAGCCTGGAATGCAATGGACTTTAGGGTACCTGGAGTCACCTAGTCCAGTCTCCCATTGGCATGAGTCCTCTCTGACACCCCC